AGCTTTAAAAACAAAAAAGGATTTATTTATTTATTTATTTATTTTATTTATTTATTTATTTATTTATTTATTATGTATACAGTGTTCTGCCTGCATATATGACTGCAGGCCAGAAGAGGGCACCACATCTCATTACAGATGGTTGTGAACCACTATGTGGTTGCTGGGAAGTGAACTCAGGATCTCTGGAAGAGCAGCCAGTGCTCTTAACCACTGAGCCATCTCTCCAGCCCCCTTTTAAAGCTTCTTGAAAGGCAAGGTGGCTCATGTTTATAATCCCAGAACTTGGATGAGGGAGGTGGAACATAAATTCAAGGCCACGCTAGGTTACACAATCAGTTCCAGAGAAGCCTGGGCTACATAGTGAGCCTATCTTTAATCCCAGCATTCTGAGGACAGGGGCAGTCAGATTTCTACTAGCGTGAGGCTAGCCAGGGCTACATAGTGAGACTCTGTCTCAAGAAAGAGGAAGAAAAAAAGATTAACATAAGTCAGAAAACACATAATGCTAAATATTTTTAATGCATTTCTTACTAATTTACCTGTTTTGGCTTCATTTCTATGACTTCAGCTTTTAACCAGGTTTCAACCTCTTCAATTTTCTTCTTATGCACAGCAAGTTCATGCTAAGATAAAAATTTGAGATTAAAAACGTTTTAAAACATTTTAAAGCTGTCAGCACCTTCTAATATGAACATTCTAGTGAACAAAAAGCTGCAAATGGGAGCTGAAGAGATAGCTCAGAGAGCACTCGCTGCTCTTCCAGAGGACCTGGGCTGATTCCCAGCTCCTACATGGTGATTTACAGCCATCTTGAATTCCAGTTCCAAGGGATCTGATACTTTCCACCTCTATGTGCACCAGGCACACTAGCGGTGCACATACATACATACAGGCAAAACACTCACACATAAAATAAAAAAGTGAATAAATTAAAAAGTAGCTGCAAAACAGTAATGTGCTCTGTTATAACAATAGGGCCTTTTGATTATACTTAAATTTTTATTTTTTTTACATTTATTTGTTTTTGGGGAAGGAGGTTGCCAACAGCTTGCAGGAGTCTGTTCTCTCCTTCCAACATGTGCTTGCCTGTACCCTTCTCAACCTCCTCATCAGCTCAGTCTTTTACATTACTCATTTTATGTGTATGGGTGTTTTGCCCACATCTGTATATTAATGCATTATACCTGGTACACTCAGAGGGTATCAAATCCCCTGGAACTGGACTTACAGATGGTTGTGAGCTATCCTGTGGGTCCCTGGAATGGAATCTGGGTCCTCTGGAAGAACAGCCAGTGCTTTTAACTGCTGAGCCATCTTTCTCCAGACCCTCAATTTTTATGCTAATATGGAAAAAAAACCTATCCTCATGCCAATACACTGTATGGCAATTTTAAAATTTTTTTCATGTCTGTTACATTATTCAGCATTATATTCTGGGGGCGGGGAGACAGAGAAGGGTACCACATCTGTAAATTCTAGTCTAGGTTAAAGACAGAGAAAAGATGGTATAACTACAGAATAACTTGTTTAAACATTAAAATACATATATATTTTTCTTCTACTTAATTTTTTCTTTTTCTTTTCTTTTCTTTTTTTTTTTTTTTGGTGACTGGGTCCCTCTTTATAGCCCTGGCTTTCCTGGAGCTTGCTGTGTAGACAAGGCTGGCCTTGAACTCACTAGGTCTGCCAGCCTCCTGAGTTAATGGGATTAAAGCAACAGCAAGCTAAAAAATTCTTATGAGGCCTCGGGCGGCGACGGTGGTGCACACCTTTAATCCCAGCACTTGGGAGGCAGAGGCAGGCGTATCTCTGTGAGTTCGAGGCCAGCCTGGGCTACCAAGTGAGTTCTAGGAAAAGCACCAAAGCTACACAGAGAAACCCTGTCTCGAAAAAAAAAAAACCAAAAAAAGGAAAAAAAAATTCTCATGAATAAAACTGAAAACATCTTTCTCTGCTATCCATGCTCATCCATCCTAAAACGGCAAAGGCATTTTTGTATGATCTCCAATGCGTACCTGAGTTTCTGGTTTATATTTATCCACCCATGGCTCATTGTCAGACAGATACTCTTTTGAAGTTTCTACACCATAAGTCTGTTCTAAAGGAGACAGCGTTCCTCTTTTTCTAGCCGGCAATCTGTTACTTTCTAATGTGGAGGACAGACTTTTTCTTCTGTGACTGGAATTATTCAAAGCTAAAGAGGAAGCAGTAATAGTAGTGATGGCAGTAGTTGCTGAAAAATCATCGAACGACGGATCTACCCAGTCTGTTACCTGCAAAGGAAGGAGACTGTAATTACTACAATTTTATACCTATGCCCTTTGCAACTGAACTACTTCATAAATGTGATTAGAACCCTTCAAGTCCTACAAATGGTCTCTCTCCCTGTCAGCATTCTCTGAAACAGGGTCCTGCTCAAGCTGACCCAGAAGGCACACTGCAGCCATGGACAGCCTTGCACTGGAGCAGCTCCTGTCTCAGCCTCTCACGGACTAGAATTACAGGCATGCTGCCACCACACTCAGCACTTCAACTTCTGCTTGCTTTCTTCTTTTTGCAATTTCCTTATTTTTGATTTTCTGACACAGGGTTTCTCTGTGTAGCCCTGGCTGTCCTAGAATTCACTCTGTAGACCCAGCTGGCCTTGAAATCAGAGGGATCTTCCACCTCTGTCTCCTGAGTAGGAACTGTATTAAGGCCCATATTAGTTTTAAGACTTTGTAGGCTGGGCGGCGGCGGCTGCGGCGGCCACCTTTAATCCCAGCACTGGGAGGCAGAGGCAGGCGGATCTCTGTGAGTTCGAGGCCAGCATGGGCTACCAAGTAAGTGCCAGGAAAGGCGCAAAGCTACACAGAGAAACCCTGTCTTGAAAAACCAAACAAACAAAAAAAACCAAACAAACAAAAAAAAGAGTGTGCTAACCTTGCTGGGCGGTGGTGGCACATGCCTTTAATCCCAGCACTAAGGAGGCACAGCCAGGTGATCTCTGTGAGTTCAAGGCTAGCCTGGTCTTAGAGTGAGATCCAGGACAGGCACCAAAAACTACACAGAGAAACCCTGTCTTGAAAAAACGAAAAAGAAAGTGCTAACCTTCCCATGTTTCCTTCTTTTACTTCCTTTTCTTAAAAAACCTTTGAAAAAGCTGGGCAAAGTGGCGCACACCTTTGATCCCAACATTCAGGAAGCAGAGGCAGGAGGATTCCTGTGAGTTTGAGGCCATCCTGGTCTATAGATCGAGTTCCAGGACAGCCAGGGCTGTTACACAGTGAAACCCTGTCTTGAAGAAAAAAAATGGTAAATTGATCAATTTTAGCCAAAAATAACAGTACTAAGGTGGTTTTTAAGATAATGAAGTTTTTTTTAAATGTCTCAGTATGGTCATACTAGCTTCTCAGTCCAGCTTTGGAGAGATAGAGACAAGAGGATGGCAGCAAGTTTGAAGATCGCCTGCTCTACATAATAAGGATCTACCTCAAAAAACTCAAAACAAAACAAACAAAAGTTTTAAAAATAGATTTTCTTAATACTCTACTATAAATCTAGAAAAACAATCTAACTTGTCACCTGGCTTTTGAAATTTCCTGCCTGACAAATGAGGAGGAACCAAGGTTATATTTTCTTCAAAGGTGCTCTGCTTGGGTCAGGGACATTGCTGAGCAGTAGCATGCTCGCCTGGCATCACTAGGCCTTGGCTTCAGACTTGACCCTTAAGATGGAGAGTGATAAACAAAGGAGGGACTTAATTACAGTTGTGAACTCTTTGTTAGATAATGCTCTTCTCAGAGGTAGAGTCCAAAACTGGAGGTGGAAACAAGGCTTCTGGGGGGAAAATGTGGGCTGATAACTGCTTTATCAATGCTAATTTACACTTGACTCTTGTCAGGTCAGGAAGATTATCACAAGAAGAAAAAGAAAGTTATGGAGGAAAAAAAAATGCAGTCATAACCAGCTGATTCATTTTTTTCTTTGCCAAAGAGATTGGCAATGTTTCTATAATTTTTTTCTTTCTTCTGTATTTAAAAGTACATGAAAACAGGTTTATACTAAACTTTCTGAGAAGAATATTGATTTGTATGTCATTTATACATTTTGTAGTTTTATTTCTTTTTTTGTTTTTGTAGACAGGGTTTCTCTGTATAGCGTAGGCACCAGTCCTGGATCTCGCTCTGTAGCCCAGGCTGGTCCCAAACTCAGAGACCCACCTGCCTCTGCCTCCCGTGCGCTGCTGCTTCCTGACTGTAATTTTAGTTCTTGTGCCACCACTGCCTAATTACAGTTTTCTTTCTTAATTCCATCTACATGAGAAAAACAGCAAAGTTACATGATTTACTTGAAATCAGAAAAATTGGAGCCACCCTTAGGGAAGCAGCTCCCAGCTGCCTTTCTTTCCTGTGATACTATTTGGACTCCTCTCACACCCAAATTCCTATCTTGCTGGGGGAAAACAAAAAAACAAAAAACAAACAAACAAACACATTGAACTTCATGACTTCTAAGAGGTAGAGCCTATGGCTAAGCTAACCAATTACCACACACTTAACTCTCTCTTCTCTTCAAAAGTGCTACTCTTTGTAACTGGGACTACAAATGCTTTTTTAAAACTGGGCATCATGGTTCAAGCCTTTAGTCCCAGCAACTCAGGGAAACAGAAGCCAGCCTAATCTACACAGTGAGTTAGTTCCAAGACAGCCAGGTCTACACAGAGAAACTTTGTTTTGGGAAAAAAAAAAAAATTTTTTTTTTGAAGACTTTTTCAGAATTAAGGTTCTGGTTGTTTTGCAGCTTATTACCAGTCTCTAGATCACTAATTACAACAGTCATTGGACCATCACTAGTCACTGAGACCAAATATAACTTTTTGTCATTGTCTTTAGGCAATTACTACAAGGCCATTTTATATTTATCATACCTTTGTGGAAGATACCTTTGGTCTAAGGAAAGTTTCTGACATTATAAACTTTAATAGTTCCCATCAGTAGCATACAATCTGGAGTACAATGAAGTATAATCCACCTGGGGGAAAAGAATAAAAACATCTCAAATTAGGAAAAACTGTAAATACAGAATTATAATAATCAGTATTTAAATGTGCAATCAGCGACATAATAGGGGCTCAAGAACTAATGAAAAAAACAGAGCAAATATGTTAAAATCCTAAAGTAAATTTTAGTTTAAATGATTACAGTTTTACCTGATAATCAATCTGTGGTGGTATAAGAAGTTTTTCACATAAACTCAATGATGAATGAAACAGAAAACCACATATTTATGAACTTAACTTTTGTTATAAAGAAAAACTAATCCCATTATGAGCAGTTTTCAAGCTGATTTTTTTTTTTCTTAAGTTTTTCGAGACAGGGTTTCTCTGTGAAACAGTCCTGGCTGCCCTGGAACTCACTCTGTAGACCAGGCTGGCCTTGAACTCACAGAGCTCCACCTGCCTCTGCCTCCTGGGTGCTGGGATTAAAGGTGTGCAGCACCACCACCCGGCTCATGCTGGAATTCTTATTTCAAATCAAGCTGCAAAGTACGGTGGATTTACAAAAATACAATGAAGTCGGGTTCATTACTCACTTTGGATAAACCTGTATATTGGAAGGTGCACCGGTCTATTTTAGAGTTGAGACACACACAAGCCCACACACACTTAAAAATTGTCCCACCTAATAAAACAAATCCTCTCCCCTTATATCATTTAGGATTAGAGCCTGACGTTTCAAAAGGGAACAAGAACATCTACTTAAAAATTTATACTCGTCTAAATAAAAGATACTCAATGATGTTATTGGTCTGGACTCTTTGAAAACAAGACTGACAATCTCCTCTTTCAATAAACAAGACAACTGTCCCAGATGGTAGGTACCAGGCTCGTAAAATACGCCGGACATAAACGAGACCTTCAGGACTATCCCTAGTCGGTCCCCCTCCACCCCACACAGTGCACAGGGGACACTGAGCACGCACATCAGTCCTAGGCAATTCCGCAACCGCCAGCGAGCAGAACTGACACCTCCAGACCAGGGCTCCTCCTACACCCACATCCTACACCAGTCCATCCGGGAGGACAGCCCAGGTAGGCGTGAAGACGAAGCCGGCCTCGCGCCTCTAAGGACATTCATAAACACAGCCGAAGCCGCGGCCGCCTTACTGTCTCGGAGCCGCGTCCCCTCGTGGGCGGAACGAAGGAGTCCGAGATCTACTCCCTGCGGAAGGACAGCGAGCGAGCGAGCGGCCCGGCCCTCCCAGCTCCGCCGCAGGCTTCCAGGAGGACCCGCCTCCCGGGGGACCTTCCTGACCCGCGGCGCTTCCCGCGACGCAGCCGGAGGGGCGGGGGCGGGCGGCCGAGCGAGTGGTGTAGGCGTCCAGCGTACTGCCTGACCCAAACAAATTGCAGGCCAGCGCGGTGGCCCGGCTCCCAGCCTCCGATGCTTGGAGCGTCGCACCCAAGGCCGGGGAGTCATCGGTGCGTGCTCAAGCGGGGGGGACCCTGAAGAGTGCGTCGGGAAGCACCGCGCGGGGCCTGGAGGAGAGCGAGCCGCAGGCGCCCACGGCCGCCCGCCCTTTCCGGCTCCTCCCCCGGAGCGCTCGGCGTCGGGCGCGCGGAGCCGAGGCGCTGGCGGCTGCCCCC